TACCGAATATTGGGGGTACTGTTATATGGGGGCTATACGATATCGTGGACCGATATAGCCCATCTTCGAACTTGTCCTGCCTGCAGACAAAAGAGAGAGCTAAATCGTCTTAGAATTTTACGCTGATCAAGAATATATATACTTTGTTGGGTCTAAAATGATTATTTCGATGAGTTACAAACGGAATGACGAACTTAATATACCCTCCATACTATGTATGGTGGAGGGTATAAAAACATTTAAAAGGTATCAGTCGGCTTGTCGACAAATATATACCCTCAGCTTATGTCTGATAATAAAATAACAAGACCATGTCTGATACAGTCATTGCCACGTCCTAGGTTTGGACTATATTCACTACTTCCTCCCCATAATTTGATATTCTTTGTAAAATATGGAACTTTCGTGGACTAATACTGATAAAAATATTGAGATGTGCAATAATTAATTTTTTCCAGTTTTGTGGCAAGAATTAGTAATCAACATTTATATATTTTGTGGGAAGGACCGATATATTTCGTCTTTACACCTGAGGTGTTGTTAGAAATTTTGGAATCTACGAAATTTGAAGACATTCAGGCTCCTTATTCACGCAATATAAGTGTTATAATTATTCAAAATTTTGACCCTTTGTGAGTAAGTTACTTGATGACCGAAATTGTCAAATTCGCACCCGATCTAGCACTGATACAAACATTAGGATTTGCAAAATGTGAACAAAATTTAGACCAATCTTTCTTCTTCAATGAGGCAAAATTTTTTCTATGAAAATGTTGATCTTATGTAAGGGGAAGCACCAGAAAGAGTCGTCCGATATTGCTCATCTCTGAACTCGATTTTTGACTCGGAGAATTTGGCCAATATTTAAGCATTCCGTAGTGTTGTTAAGTATTCAAAACAATTTTACATGAAATTTGTGGTTCATTTTCGGCTAAATATAAGCCATTGGTCATCCAAAATGCCAGACTTCTTCCCTGTCCTTAACTCTCTCTTGATGCGAAATTTCGTGTCGATTAGTTTTCAATTGTGGCTTATAGAGCGACTACAATTAGAAATTTTTAAATTTTTTTCGTCCATTTGCACCTCAGAGCAATAGGCTTTAATACTGACCCTAATCCTACCCCCATGCAAAAATTTCTTGAGGATCGGACGATAATTGCGATATGCATATAATACCATCAAAACGTAGTGTTGGTGGTGTAAAAATTTAAATTGTAAGTCAAATTGAAAAAATTGCATGCGATAAAAATTGTGGCAAAAATTGAAAAAATTCGACAAAAGATATTCACTTTTTTATTAGTATATTTTTCCGCGATTTTCTTAGATTTTATCGTTTTCTGTCAAAAGACCATTCTGAATTGATGGGAATTGTGAAAATCGGCCCAGCGGTTCTTGATTTATAAGCAGAATAAAAAAGATCAATTCTTTTACATATATATTGCACTTATTTTGCTATATATCCGATTTCTTGGCTATTAGCATTACTGTAATGGTCAGAAGTGATCTTTTAATGTATTTGTAATTTGGCTGGGATTGAAAATATTCGCGGTTTAGTGGACATTTTCCTATTTTCTTACATAAAAGTTAGGGTCTATTTTACCCGCTAATTATTGTCCGATGGCCACCCAAATTGGAAGGTTTCTGCCCACTACTAAACTCTAACTTCATGTAAATTTTCGCGTCGATTGGTTCATATTTGTGGCATATAGAGCAACTGCAAAGCAGGAAAATTGTCTGTTTTTAGTCCATTTAAACCCCTAAATATTGTGCGATCATCTCCAAAAACAATAGGGTTCTATTCTGACCATAACCCCACTTCCATTTTCAATTTCGTGAGGATTGGTTCATAATTTCGACCTGTAGCTTGATTATAATTAACATGGACAGACTGACGGACGGATGGACATACATAGCCAGATCGACTCATCTCGGCGAGATAGGAAGATCCATATATACTTTCCTATGTGCGAAACCAATTTTTCGAGGTGTTTCACAATTTTTGGCCCAATCAAACTTATAATACCCGAAACACATAGTGTTGTAGGGAATAAAAATTCCTTATGTTATCCAAATATCTCTATTAAATTTTAAAGCACCATCCTAAATATTGCGAAGCATATCTCAAACTTTAAATGTCCTATTGTCAGTGCAAAAATTATATGAAGACATTAACAATGTTTGGCCCTAGAACCAAAAACTCTTTTGGAGGTTTAAACTACAAACAGTTCTATCATGTTAACTCTGAATTTTCCACAATCCATAATTTTTACATTTTTTTTTAAATTTTATTAATTGAAAGCAAACAATGTCGGACATAGCATCAAATTTTAGAATAAGTTTAGATTTGTTCGAATTGGTCACCTTTGGCACGAATTATGGACTTCAAACGGCCAATGAAGCAGTCACACGCTGCCCGAATGTTGCTCTGCGGTATTTTGGCTATTCCCGGTGAAGCGCTTGCTTGAAGTGATCGACACTTTGTAATTTTTTAGTGCCAACCTTGTTTTCCAAAATACTTCAGATGCAATAGTCCAAAGGATTGGTATCCGGAGAGTTTGGTGGCCATTGTGCGCTGGAAATGAAGCAAGGAACCTGTTGGTCCTGTTGGAATGTCCAAGGTCTGTGGCCAAAATGTTTGCGTGCTCAAGGCTTTAATACACCCTCCAGAATATTTTCTCCATAATATTCGGCATTTATTCTGATGCCATGGTCGATGAATACGAGTGGAGAACGACCATAGGCTGTTATGGCGGCCCACACCATCACCATGGCCGGCGATTGAGTTCTGGTGGCCTTCCGAAGGTGCACATTTTGTTTGTTTACAAACTGCTAAACAACGAATGTTTTTTCATCGGAGAAAACCAAATTCGGCAGTTTAGCACTTTCAGCCAAGCGAAGCAAATCTTTACCTCTTTTGAGGTATATACCGATATTTGGTATTTTGTTGATTTATGCCACATTTTTTCCCTGATTTGTTTGAAAATTGGTATTTGTAGGTCATAACGGGACCCTGTGCGTGTGGCAAAACATTGCATGTATAGGTCCACGTTTTGGTATATCCCTCATATAACGGTACCTCCCGATATTCGGTATTTTGATTATTTTTGCCACATTTTTTCACTGATTTGTCTAAAAATTGGTATTTGTGGGTCATAATTGGTCCTAGTTCGTGTGGCGAAACATTGTATGTATAGGTCCACGTTTTGGTATAGTCCCCATATAACGGTACCTCCTAATGTTCGGTATTTTGGTGATTTTTGACACATCTTTTCATGAATTTCTCTGAAAATTGGTAGTTGTAGATCATAATGGGTCCCAGTTCGTGCGGCGAGCCATTGAAATTATAGGTCCACGTTTTGGTATAGCCCCCAGATAATAGTACTTCCCGATATTCGATAATTTGATGATTGTTGCCACATTTTTTCACGGATTTGTCTGAAAATTGGTATTTCTAAGTCATAATGGGTTCTAGCTCCTTTGGCGAAACATTGCATGTGTAGGTCCACGATTTGGTATAGCCCCCATATAACGGCACCTCCCGATATTCGGCATTTTAATGGTTTTTGGCACATTTCTTCTAATGTTTCCTGTACCCTAAGGTGGAGGGTATAAAAGTTTGGCCCGGTCGAACTTAATGTTTTTTTACTTGTTAAAATGTTAACAAATTTTTTAACGGATTTTATTATTTTGAAAATTGCCAAATTCGTTCCAAATGGTGGAGGGTATTCAAAGTTTGGCCAGGCCGAACTTAGAGCTTTTTACTTGTTTTTACATAAAAGTTATGGTCCATTTCACCCGCTAAATATTATTCGATGACTATCTAATTTGTAGGTTTCTCTCCCAGCCCTAAACTCTCGTCCTATGTTAATTGGTCTATCATTGTGACCTCTAGAGCAACAGCAAAATCAAGGATATCTACTGTCTTGTGTACATTTCAACCCCTTAATATTTTCTCCAAAAAAAAATAGGCTCTTATTCTCACGTTAATATCACCTCCATGCAAAATTTTGTGAGAATATAGAATATTTCGGGGACTAATATTTAGAGGTGTTAGATATTTTTTTGGGCCCAAACAAACTTATAATACCCCCAAATACAGTATTGAAGGGTATACAAATTCCTCGACCAATTAAGCGATATTTTTGCAAAACTTTGTAGAGGGATTATAATTAAGTTTTATTTAATTCAATAAGTGTTCTGCAAATTTGAGCTTATTTCAAATTCACAGCAGCTTAGCAATGTATGTTAGTCGTCTATTTAAGAAAACGAAACCAGACTTCTGTTTTTTTGTATTTCTTCCCAAACTGCAGTTCCAACAACTTGACCTCCGAAATTCTGCACCTCCCAAATGCCCAAATCTAATAACAGGGCCAAACCTTGCTGTCAAACAATGTGCCTTCACTTAATCAGTCTGGCATTACAACCTTTTACCCTCCCGCATAATGGGCATTGTTTGGCCGCAATATAATTAAGAATTCAATCAAAAGTGATTTGCAGAATTCATCTCAAAAGCCAATAATTTAGGCCTGCATTCGCTAGATTTTTTGCATACTCAGCTAACGCTGCGAATGGTTTGAAGTCGGCGCTACGTCGCCTGTTACACAAATACTTAACAATTAGAATAGACAGTCGAGCAGACAATGAGGCGATTGCGACGCAGCTCAGAGACATTCATGTAACCAAGAAGAAGAGGAGGTGGCAGCGGGTCGGTCGGAGCGTAGTTTTATTACCACTTTTAAATGGTGTCGTTTGCTATTACCGTTTTGCTGGTGTATTGCGATTGCCATTGCCGTTGCTGTTGCTGCGGCTCAGATTATCATAGTTTGTAGAGCACAAATTATTGTCAAAAATTTAAACTAAGCTCGGCATTGCTTTGCTATTTTCTGTTTTCTGTATAAATAGTTGTTGTTAATCTTTATCAGGTATTAGTTGAAGCAATTCGATCTTTGCGTACACAAGTTAACCAAGCTTTGGAATATTCCTTGAGAAGACTCGCAAAAATGAAACACTGCATTTTGATTTTGGTTATCGCTTTGAGCGGCCAGGCTCTGGCAGGCTATTTGGGCGGTTCAGGTGGTAGTGGTTGGAATGTCGGTGGAGCCTGGCCAGCCGCCAGCTCGGGAGGATGGTCCAGTGGAGGATCAGGCGGCTGGCCAAGTGGTGGTGGTGGTACTGCAGCTTGGCCAAGTAGCGGATCAGGTGTTTGGAATAATGGCGGTAGTGGCTGGTCCAATGGTGGCGGCAGTGCGACCAAAATAATTAAAGTTATTCCTGTTAATTCTGGAAACAGTGGTTGGTCAGGAGCCGGCGGTAGTGGTGGAGCATGGCCCTCAAATGGAGGCAGTCTAGGAGGCTGGCCTTCCAGCGGAGGCTCGGGAGGTTGGCCATCGGCTGTCAACTCTGGTTGGTCCGCCAGCAGCGGCTCGAATGCTTGGCCCGTTAGCAGTGCATCTGTTTGGAAATCCAGCGGTGGTAACAGCGGATGGTCTCCTGCCGGTAATGGTGGTGGCTGGAAATCTGGTGGTGGCAGCAGTGTCTGGGTGCCTGCTGGCAATAGCGGCTGGTCTTCAGGTGGTAACTCCGGCTGGAAGTGGTAAACGCAGCCAATTCGTTTCCGTTTGCAATAATTAGTTATTGTTGGCCATGTAAATTCTTGTACCATACATTCGATAACAATGCTTCATATTTTATATTCGTGTAAAGATATTAATTTTAGATCTTTTGTTTAATAAAATTTTTACTCTTTTCTAAAACAAATATTTATTTCCATGATTTCAAAAAAAAATATAGGCTAACTTTCACAAATACATTTGGAATAAGGTAATTACTAAAGTATTAGTATAGAGGATGTAAATCAGAGGACCTATGAACTTACACTTATCTTTTAAATACCCTCCACCATTTTGAAGAAATTTGAAAGTTTTTTAAAAAAAAAATCGTCGAAAATACCGCTAAAAATATGAAATTTGAAACGTTTCCGTTTAGAAATATCCGTAATATCATCAAAATACCGAATAAAGGAAGGCGCCGTTATAACTGGGCTATATGAAGACGTGGACCTACAATTTTCCGTCATAGGTTGTTATTCCTATTACGAGATTAAAATTCGAAATTTGAAAAGATTCCGGTGAATAATGTCCCTATAATCATCAAAATAGCGAATATCGGTAGGTATCTTTATATGGGAGGGCTATACGAAAACATGCTCCTGTATGCGCAATTTTTGTCACAGGCAATAGAACCCATTACGAGTAAATAACTCCTGTCAAAAATGTCGCTAACATCATCAAAATGCCTAATATCGGGGAGTTAAGTTGTATTGGGGTTATACCATATCGTGGACCTATATAGACAACTAGCTGAACCCGGTGCGCTTCGCTACCCCTTTGATTTTATATGCATTCAATTTATTTTATTTACGAATATATGTTGGATAAAAAAAAAAACAAATTTTAAAATTAAAAAAAAAGATTATTGCACTACTTTAATGCGTTAATAAACAAAACCATTAGAAAAGCAGTAACATGACATGCATACACGAAGGGTTTGTCCTTCGGATTTATTTATTTCATAGCCAATACCAAGCGTGCAGGAAACTTCAATTTTTTGAAGTTGAGTGGCATTTTTCTTGCAATTAGTGAATTCGAGGTAGCAACATACTTCCCCGTGATAAGGGTATTTCAAATTACCTGTTGTGTTGTTTTTTAGTGTTAGCCTAAGGCGTTGTGGGTCAATGGTTCTTATTAAAATCATATTCCAATCTGATCCGATTTAAATATAATTTAAAAACAATTTACTTTTACACCAAATTCCGCCACAACTTTCATATTTCATTGAAATTGGTGCGTCAAATGTGTGAAATCGGCCGAGAATATATATATGGGAGCTATATCCAAATCTTAACTAATTTCCAATAAATTTATCACATTTATTATAACCAAATTCCGCCACACATTCTGAATTTCATTGGAATCGGTCATATATATCGTGTTTGGTGCATAACATGTATGAAGTCGGCCGAAATATATATGTTAGCTATACATAAACCTCAACCGATTTCAATATAATTTGGCAATTTTTTTCAGGTGCCAGTTTTCGTCTCTCTCTCTCTTTGGGTGCATCAAGTATGTGAAATCGGCCGAGAATATATATGGGAGCTATAATCAAATTTGAGCGAATTTGAATATAATTTGTCAAATTTATTTTTGTACCAAATTTAGTCACTCATGGCGAATTTCATTGGAATCAGAAATACGTATCGTGTTTTGTGCATCAAATATGTGAAAACGGCCGAGGAGCTATATCCAAATCTGAACCGATTTTAATATAATTTGACTAATTTATTTTCTAATCAAAATCCCGTCACATATTCCAAATTTCTTTGGAATCGAACATACATATCGTGTATGGTGCATCAAATACATGAAATCGGTCGAAAATATATATGGGAGCTATATCCAAATCTGAACCGATTTTAATGTAATTTGACTAATTTATTTACTAATCAAAATCCCGTCACACATTCCCAATTTCATTGGAATCGAACATATATATCGTGTTTGGTGCATCAAATAAATGAAATCGGTTGAAGATATATATGGGAGCTAAATCCAAATCTGAACCGATTTCAATATAATTTGACAAATTCATTTTTGCTCCCAATTTCGTAACTTATTTTAAATTTCATTAAAATTGGACATACATATCGTGTTTGGTGTACCAAATACATGAAATCGGCCGAAAATGTATATGGGAGCTATATCCAAATCTGAACCGATTTCAGTATAATTTCATAAATTTATTTTCGGATCAAATCCCGTTAAACATTCCAAATTTCATTGGAATCGAACATTCATATCGTGTTTGAGGCATCGAATGAACGAAATCGGTCGAAAATATATATGGAAGCTATATCCAAATCTGTACCGATTTCAATATAATTTGGAAAATCAATTTTCTAGATAAAATCCATCACACGTTTCAAATTTCATTGAAATTTGGGATGCATAGCGTGTTTGGTGCATGAAATGCTTGAAATCGGCCGAATATATATATGGGAGCTATATCCAAATCTGAACCGATTTCAATATAATTTGGCAAATTTGGATTTTGGAATTTGGCCAAATTTGGAAACTGCATCTGTAATCGATCAATATATATGGGCATACAAAATCTAAATTTTTGAGAGATACCTCCGATTCTGATGCTATATCTCCACTTCCAAGTGGAATTTCAAAAATGTATACAGCCGATGTTACTTTCAGGCGATGTTGCAGTATACGTGTAAATTTTCAGGAAAATCTGTTCAGCGGTTTTCGAGTCCATAAATTACAAACAAACAAACATTCAAACATTTTCCTCTTTTATAGATATAGAAGAAGATACCCTTCTAGGGTGTAAATTACTCAAAAGGTACCCCTAATATATAATTTCCCACAATTCCATTGAAGGTGTGTCTAAAATCATCAAAATATCGAATATCGGTGGTACCGTTATATGAGATCTGAGGATATAGCCTATCTTCGAACTTGACCTTGCTTAAAGAAAAAAATTATCTTCCTATCTTAATTCGGACAGCGGACAGTGCTAAATCGTTTTAGAATTTTACACTGATCAAGGTCTAAAATTATTATTTCGATGAGATACAAACGGAACGACGAACTTAAAATACCCTCCATACTATGGATGGTGAAGGGTATATAGGTATAAAATGGGGGATTTTCGTCAGTCAGATGGGCGGATTTTGACAATTCTCACCGATTCAGAAGGGCCTTTTGCCAGAAAAGAATAATATATTAAACATCGCATAAAAACATGCTAATAATTAGAAAGGAAGGGTCAAAAGTCAGGCGGGGCGAATATGTGATATGCTACACCACTATGCGTATTTAGTAGAGCTTTATTTGAATGCTTATCATGGAGTTAGAGTAATCTCAATTTAGGAACTATATATATACTCTGATTTTTCAACAAACTTGACAAAAAAAGTTATAGTCTCAACTATAATTTGGCATATGTTTTGTGGACTCCAAAAATGGAGCCTGGGGGATTTTTTTTAAATCCGGGTCTGTTCCCCAAGAAGAAAATACTTTCCCGGAATCAGGGTACAAATACATACATCTCGAAAAATTGTTTATAATATCCGAGAGTATTTACTAAACAAGAGTTGTTTCTATAGTTTATATCAGTGTGTGTTATTGTGTATAAATAACAAGAAGGGAAAATCTAAGTTTATAAATTTTAAAAATTTAAATCATCGTTACATACTCGTTTTTTTTTTTTTTTTTTTTTGGATATCCATTAAAGTTTCAAACGATTAACATAGCATGGAACTTCTCACTTCATAAAATTATGTTTATTCTGGCATTAATTAAATTACAGCCAGTATTAACGGAAGCATTCGCACACATACAACCAGACATAAAATTAACGCTTTGGCTGCTTAATTACGTACCTCATACCAATAATATTTATTATTCTTTAGTATAATGTTGTTTGTGCTCTCAGTAATATCTATGTATTAATATAAAATAAATAACGGTTAATATAATTTTTCTAAAGAGCTATGCTCTCTTAAAAACAATGAATGAAAAATGGTTTTTTAATAATGCAATTAACCATTTCGAACAAATATTTCAAATGCCATCAACAGTAGGAAGTGCAAAAAAAAAATGCGTTTGTCTATTATGTTATGGCGCTAAACGGTTTTAACGCGCAGATAGCTAAGCGGGTCTAAAACAATAATTAAAAATTATTTCAAATATTTTACGGAAAATGATTTATTTTGGCAGAATCTAATTAAATAAATTGATTAGTGATGTTGTAGAAAAGAGATCATTAAAAAGAAGTTATGAATGTGACTTCAAATTTGCTGAGTAAGAATTCTCCACTAATAAACAAACGTTATTTTATAACAAGTAAGCAAAGGCTACAGTCGAGCGGGGCCGACCGTTGAATACTCTACAACACTATAATAAATGATACAGTTTATATAGGCCAGATACTCGACAGAATTCCACAAGATATTGTGACAAATAATAAAAGAAAACCATCAGGTTTCGTTCTCTAATTTTCGAATAATAGAAACTTGAACTAATTTGCTCATTTCCAATTTATAGGTAGATGTTGCACGTACCAATCTGGAACTAATATTTCTCAAAGACCTGTAATCTCTCAGAAGTGGCAAAAGATTAACATTTATTATTGGCTTTTGGCTGAAACGCATCTATATGAGATACAGACATTTGACTATATTCTTCCACGAAATCAGCCTTAACGAAATAGTCAGAAGTGTGTCTTTCCTGTATTTGTGAATTCTCCAAAAAGTCACTGGAATGGATATTTTCGTATTTTGTCTACAAAAGTTGGCAAACTATTTCACACATTGAATATTTTTGGATGGCCATCCAAAACTATTTGGCTTTTGCAATGTCCGGTAACCTCCATTCAAATGCGCGTGAGGATCGGGCGATACTTATGACTTGCTGACACTTTTGCATTTTTTGGTCCATTTCAACCCCTTAATATATGACGATAATCTCCAAAAAGAGTAGGCTTCTATTCTGACCCTCGTCTTATCCCCATGCAAAATTTCGTATGGATCGGGCCATAAATTCGATCTGTATATGATATCCTGATATCCTAACTACTTAGTTTTGTTAGCTGTAGAAATATTACCAAATGCTTAATTCAAAATGAAAATATGCCAAATATATGACAAAATTGAAAAAATATGAGAAAATGTTAGAAAATCAATATTTTCATCTTTAGAGAGATATTTTTATGCGATTTTTTTAGACGTTTTTTCTTTCCTGCCAAGAGGCCATTCTGAATTAATGAGAACTGTCGAAATCAGTTCAGCCGTTCTCGACATATTAGAGATCTTTCAAGCATATCTTCTTTGATAGACATATATATCGCACATATTTTGCTATATATCTGATTTCTTGGATGTTAACATCAATGTAAAGATCAGAAGTAACCTTGTCATGGCTTTGTGATTTCGCCGGGATTTAAAATATTCGCGGTTTAATGAAAAATTTAGAATTTTTTCAACACAAAAGATATGGTCTATTTTACCCGCTAAATATTATCCGATGACCACCCAAATTGGTAGGCTTCTTCCCCGCCTTAAACTCTAGCTACATGCGAAATTCCGCGTCGATTGGTCTATAATTGCGACTAGTAGAGCAACTGCAAAATCAGGAATTTTTTCAGTTTTTGGTCCATTTCTACCCCTAAATGTTATGCGATCATCTCCAAAAGAAATAGGGTTCTATTCTGACCTTAACCCCACCTACATTCTAAATTTCGTAAAGATCGGGCCATAATTGCGACCTGTAGAGTGATTACAAATTAACATGGACAGACGGACGGACGGACATACATAGCTAGATCGACTCAGCTCGGCGAGCTAGGAAGATCCATATATACTTTCCTATATGGGAAACCAATATTTCGAGGTGTTACATAATTTTTGGCCCAATCAAACTTATAATACCCCCCAACACATAGTGTTGTAGGGTATAAAAACGGGATTAAAGGGATTAAGCCTGACAATTTTGCAACAACAAAATATAGTGAATTCTACAGGTCGCGATTATAGACCAATCGACGCGAATGTTGGCATGGTGCTAGAACTAAGTGTTGCTCAGAAGTCTTCCATTTTTGATGGTAATCGGGTAATAATTAGGGGGTGAAATAGACCATAAAAGTCACATTTTCTATTAAACCACGAATATTTTTAATCCCGACGAAATCACAAATAGACGAACAGGTCAATTCTGACCGTTATGGAAATATATACAATGTATATATACAAAGGAAGGAGATATAATTAGAATGCTTACATCTCAACAATGGCTGGACCGATTTTGACAAATTTTGTCAATTAAGAATGCCCACTTCGCATAAAAGAATAAAATATAATCTTAATCTAAAAAATCGCATAAAAAGATTCCAATAATGATGTTAATATAAATTTTGTAGAATTTTGTGATTTTTTTTTATTTTCATATTTTTTTATCGCATGCGAGTTTTTCAATTTGACTTAAAATATTGAAGTGTACATTTTGTAATATTTTTTCACCTTACAACACAGGTTGGGGCTATTATATACAGATTGCAATTATCGTCACGAAAATTTTTTCAAGGGGAGGGTTACGCTCAGAAAGGCTAAGCCTATTGTTTTCAAAGATGTCCGCAATATATTTAGGGATTGAAATGGACCATCAACTAAAAATGTTCCTGATTTTGCAGCCGTTATAAAGGTCACAAATAGAAACCGAAGGACACGAAATTTCGCATAAAGTTAGAGTTTAAGACATCGGGTAGAATGGACCACTACTTTTGTGTGAAAAAATACCAACATTTCCATTCTACCGAAAAACTGAAAATAACTTACAGACAAAATCCAAAATAGACAAAAGGCGAACACCTGGCTTTTTTATGCGGATTTCGTTGACGATTATAGCAAAATATCGTAGACGAGCAAATCATATACATAAGTCTTAATTTGGAGATACAGAGGGTCGTCTTGCATTTGGAGAGGATCGCAAAATATCTAGCAGTTCAATTAAATCAAAAACAGAAAGAATTTCCTGATATCACAATTGAAACCAAACGACACGAAATGTTGCCTGAGAATAAAGTTAAGGGCAGGGAAGAGTCCTTGCATTTTGGATGACCATTGGATTATATTTAGCTGTACAATGGACCACAACAACTAACAGTACGACGGAGTGTGTTAATATTGGCCAAATGTCCCTTGTCAAAATGCTAAGGGTAATATCTGGGCAGTGTTCCGTGATATAAATTAAAAAGCGAAATCTTCCAAAATGGATTTGGACATAAGGGAGCATGTAACATATTGTAGTGTTGTAGGGTATCACATGGTCGGCCCAGCAGGACTATAGCCCTTGCTTACTTGTTTTTTTTTTTTCAAATTTTTATCGCATGCGATTTTTTCAATTTGACTTATAATATTGAAGTATACATTTTGTAATATTTTTTAACCTTACAACACCTGTTGGGACTGAAACCAATCGACACGGAATTTTACATAAGAAGAGTGTTAAGGACGGGGAAGAAGTCGGGCATTTTGGATGACCATTGGATTGGACTTACCTGTACAATGGACCACAAGAATTAACAGCACAACGGAGTGCGTAAATATTGGGTAAATGTCCCTGGTCAAAAAGCTTAGGGTAATATCTGGGCAGTGCTCTATGACACAATTTCAAAAGCGAAATCTTCCAAAATGGATTTGGACATAAGGGGGCTTCTAACATATTGCAGTGTTATAAGGTATCAGGTGGTAGGCCTCGCACTACTATAGCCTTTGCTTATTTTTTTAGAGATATAATTATTCAAAATTTTGTACCGTTTTTTCATTTCCCGATTTTTAAGCTTCAGAGCTATTAGAAATGTTCACCCCTTTGTTGGGGAGGTACCAGAAGGAGTGGACCGATGTATCCCATCTTCGCACCAGACCTTAATTTAATTAAAATATTGTGACGTGTGAAATTTGAAGAGAACCGCATGCTTATTTAGGATTTTATAATCGTTTTGGGTTATTCAAAACGTTGACCCTTTGTGTGGGAGGAACCAGAAGGAATAGTCCGATCTCTATCATCTTTATAACAGATCTTGTCTTTATAAAAGTATTGAGATGTGCAAAGTCTAAATGGAATCGAATGGTAATTTCGTATTTTGTGAGCTTCATGACTATTCAAAATGTTGACCCTTTGTGAGGGAGGTACCGGAAAGTACCATCTTCACACCTTATTTTGAGTTAATAAAAATATTGGGATGTGCATAATTTGAAGACAATCGGACACTTATCTCACATTTTACAAGAGTTATAATTAATCAAAATGTTGACCCTTTGAGTTAGAAGCATTTGATGTTGTCCATTTTCGCACCTGTCCAGGGCACTGGCAAAAATATTGGGAATTACAAAATCATCTTTCAATGTGATGAATTATTTTCTGTGAAAATGTTGACTTTTTATGAGGGAGGTACCAGAATGTGGGGACAAATAATATCCATCTCAGAACTCGATCTATGTTTGGCAATAATATTACGATGTACCAAAATTTGGATCAAATCGGATACTCCCTTCGAGAGTTATCGTGCGCGACTGCCTGATGGACACCCCTAGATCGACTCCTAAATGTCCTGAAACGGATATGGTTCAAAGGGATCTAGAGTCTAAAGCCGTTATTTCGATAACGTTTTGGCCGTATCTCTTCTTATAATAATGTAGAGTGTTAAGGTCTTTTTGAGTTAGGATCCATACCAAGAGCATTGCAGATTATCATATAGTTGACCATAACGAATTTTCTCCTTCCCGTGCTGGTCTCATTTTGGCGAGGTTTCTTAGTTTATTTATGCGTATCTATCCGTGCGTGAATTAAGTAAATAAAATGGTGGGTAAATTCTTTGTCGACTTGGCCGTCTGTTGACATCGCGACAGAGCTCTCACTGCTAAACGTAGAGCTATTACACTCAGGATGTTTGGAATTGAAAATGAAACATATCGGTCCAAGTTTTCGAGGAACCACCCGATTCGTTCTTTTGATTCATTTCCATGGATTAGACCCATAAACTACTTATTTTTGTCATCAATTAATACTGCATTATTTGTAGATCTTAACACTATTCTTTATTTAAGCACACACGCATAAAAATATATAATTTCTTTATTGTTGTATTTTTTTTTTATAAATTTTAAGTTTTGTATAAATTTCTGAGAACACGTTTTAGCCTTTTGTCTTCTAAAGATATCACTGCTTGAATACTTGGTATCACGTTGTGGTTAGGGAAAATAATTTAACTTTGGACTGTTTTACCACTTCCAGCCGCCTCCTCCACCTCCTGAGGACCAACCGCTGCCACCGCCGCCTGTTTTCCAGCCACCACCACCTCCGCCAGATTTCCAGCCACCTCCACCGCCGCCAGAGGACCAACCACCACCGCCTCCAGATTTCCAGCCTCCACCACCGCCAGAGGACCAACCACCGCCTCCTCCACCAGATTTCCAGCCACCTCCTCCGCCACCAGAAGACCAGCCGCCTTTGCCCCCTCCACCACCACCGCCCAAGGAGATGATTTTAATAATTTTTGTGGAACCACCGCCTCCACCACCAGACCAACCGCCACCACCACCGCCGCCTGATTTCCAGCCACCGCCTCCTCCACCAGAAGACCAGCCACCACCTCCACCTGATTTCCAGCCACCGCCGCCTCCACCACTAGACCAACCGCCTCCTCCTCCGCCGCCACCCAAATAACCTGCTAATGCCTGGGCCGCAAAGACCACCAGTAAAACAAGGATACAACTTCTCATTTCAAACCGATCGTCGAATAGAAAAATTCAGGGAACAGCTGTGACCGCAAAGATTGGAGGTTCTCAACTAATGACTATTGGAGATTAGCAACAACTATTTATACTCAACTTTTGCGCTAAAGACGTTAGCTTAATAAAAGTTTGACAACAACGATTTGAACTTCCCAACCAACCGCCAGGCCATTACATTAAAACACCACAGTGGCAGTCACAAAACAGCCATCCATCTATCCAACCAACAAACCACCCAAGCATGCCTTGGGGTAAAAGACGGATATTACCGACCGTACCGGCCCTCCCCCCTCGCCATGCTGGGACTTATCGTTAGCATCGGCGGCAAAGATAAGTTTGCATTTCAAATTTGCTGCAGTTCAAGTCCGTCCGTCCGTCTCATTGAATATTGAATTCTATGCTTGAGCCGATGATTGCAGTCGTACACCGAACAATACACCGAAAAAAAATGCTTTCAATTGTGCACACAGTTCTCATTTGTTGGCGTGTAATAATAAAACAACAATAACACAAATGAATTCTGCTAGCCAGGTTAGGGGGGGGGGGGGGGGGGGTGCATAATTTTCCTTAAAACTCAGCGTCTTTTTGGCAAACTGCAGCCGGTGTTTGTCAAGTCAGGTCGTCCGTCGTCTCAGCAGTCTTTTGTTTTTTTTTTTTTTCATTTAATTGTTTACTTCATTTTTGTTGCTTTGCTCTTTTGGCATTGCCAAAAAAATTCATCACAAAACCAAAATGTTACAAACGCCTTCGCTTGGCGTTTTTTTTTTTTTTTTTTTGGTTTGCTTGTTGCAGGTCTGTAATTCAATGTTTCACCACAAGACTAGCAATTAAGGTTTAGCTGGTTTTAAAGCTTCTGTAACCAAAAAAAAAAAAAAAAAATAATGCGTCGCTTATTCTGCAGGTATCCATCCAACTGATTGTTTTGTTGTTACACTTGGTGGCCAAATTTTATGACTCCATTTGTTCGACTGCCCCCGGTGAGTGGCAACTAATGAAGACGTTTTCAAACTTTCAATTACCAAATTATTGTGCGGCGTCAACCTTGGCCAAAAGAAAAGTGACAAATAAGAAGATGTATTAAAAAAAATAATTATTGAAAAGAGAAATCTCAATGGAATTGGATATCAATCCGAAATTAATGTAATGTGATATAAAAGAGTTTGGGATTTACAGCCTATAATACTATGTGTTTGGGGGTATTATGCATAAGTTTGATTGAGCCAAAAATTAAGTAACACCTCGAAATATTGGTCCCTGAAATAGGAAACTTTATATGGATCTTCCTACTTCACCGAGCTGAGTTGATCTATGTATGTCCGTCCGTCCTTGTTAAATTGTAATCCCGATTCTCACGAAATTGAGAATTGAGGTGGGGTTAGGTTCAGAATAGAACACTATTGTGTTTGGAGATGATCGCAAAATATTTAGGGGTTGAAATGGACCAAAAATATTTTTTTCTGATTTCTCAGCTGCTCTACATATCGCAATTATAGACCAATCGATGCTGAATTTAATATAGCGCTAGAGTTAAGACCTGGGCAGAGGCCTAACATTTTGTTTGATCATCGGACAATATTTAACGGGTAAAATAGACCATAACTTTTATGTGAAATTGTTTTGAGTTGCAATCAGAAAAAAAATCGAAAATTTCCACTAAACCGCAAATACTTTTAATCCCAGCGAAATCCCAAATGTCACTTCCGACAATTGCAGTGATACTTATAGCCAAGACATTGGGTACATAGCACAACGGGTACAATCTACAGGGTGAGATGAAAAACTGCAACCAAATTCACACCGCTGTCATCCCTAAGCCACTCGTCCAACAGCTGTTAAAATTATTCCAGTGACAGCTCATTCTATTCTTTACAAGCATACAAAAGCATTTTGGTTTGAATTTTCCAGAAAAAATGTTATTCGTGATGGAATGCAAGCGTGATAGTGTGATTTCTTTATATTTGGTTGGAAAACCACAGGTGGCTTCGTTGGAGTACACCAGCATTTAAATGTGAATAAATCTTTTGTGTCTCGTACCATCGCTCGTTACCGTGATACGGTAGCATAGCTCGACGTCAAGGAAGTGGACGGAAGAAAACAGTAACATCAGCAGAAATGGTTCGAAAAGTAAAGAAGCGACTTGATCGAAACCCACGTCGCAGTGGCCGAAAAATGGCTTGTGAGCTGAACATATCACAAAATTCCATTCAGCAAGTATTGAAAAATGATCTCGGGGTAAAGTCATTGAAATTCCAAAAAGTGCAAGAACTTACACCGCAACAGAAAGAAAATAGACTCCAAAGGGCTGAAGAGTTGGCCGAAAGTGGTGAACTGCCGAATCGAATTTGGTTTTCTCCGATGAAATAACATTCATTGTCCAGCAGTTTGTAAACAAACAAAATGATCGTGTTTACTTGCCAAAGAGGTCAGCTGAAAATGTGCACCTTCGGTTGGCCACCAGAACTCAAGCGCCGGCCATGGTGATGTGGGTGTGGGCCGCCATAAAAGCCGATGGTTGCTCTCCGCTCGTAATAATCGGTCATGGCATTAGAACAAATAACGAATATTATCGCGAAAATAATATGGAGGGTGTATTAAAGCCCAACAGGACTCAGCACGCGCCATCCAATAATGGTTACAAAATGAGGTTTCTCGCTTCATTTCCAGGGCACAAGGCAACCAGAATCTCCGGATACCAATCCGTTGGACTGTTGTGTCTGGATTATTTTGGAAAGCAAGATTGGCACTAAAAAATACCAAAGTGTCGATCATTTCAAGCAAGCGCTTCGCCGGGAATGGGCCTAAATACCGCAGAGCAACATTCGTGCAGCGTGTGACGGTTTCATTGGCCGTCTGAAGGCCAATGTTATCTCGATGTTAGTTATTCTGTACTGATTTTGACAATTCTCACCAATTCGGAATGGCCCCTTGCCAGAAAAGGATAAAATCTATGAAAATCGCGCAAAAATATGCCAAAAAAAAGTTAATATTTTTTGTCAATTTTTTTTTCGCATGCCAATTTTTTTACTGTGGAGGGTATTTTAACTTTGTCATTCCGTTTGTAATTCCTCGAGATACTCATGTCAGATCCAACAAAGTATATATATTCTTGATCAGTGTAAATTTCGAAGTTGAAAAATACCGCTCAAATTAAAACAATTATATGAGGGCTATACAAAGACGTGGGTCGGAATACACAACCGTCATATATTGTAGAACCCATTGCGAACTTTAAATACGAAATTTGAAACAATTCCGGAGAACATCAAAACACCAGGTATCGGGGCACCGTTGAATGCGATATCGAGGACCAATAAGGGCAATTCTCCTCCAGAGGGTAAAGTACTCAGATATGGATAAAATCATCAAAATAGCGAATATCGGGGGTACCGTTATATGGGGGATATATCTTGGACCTATATAGACAATTCTCATCCAGGGGTAAAGTACTCAGAAGAAACTCCTTGTGTAGAATTTCAGAAATATTGACCCATTCTTTCCAAGCCCACTCCGTAGAGGCTCAAGAGTTTGAAAATTCATAAAAGAAGTCAAAATATTTTAAAATAATCGAACATTGGCGTAGGGTATACATCTGTCGACAAAACCGACCGAAACTTTTTTACTTCTATTTTTTTTTTTTTTTTTTGAACAAAAATTCTTCCAGCATGGCCCGATAATGTAATGGCCTTGCTCATTTTCGAAGAAAAAATGGCCCGATTAATCGTATGCCTCTAGACCAAAATCCGCACCAAACAGTGCTTGTTTACATATGGAGCTGATGGTGCTTATCTTTTTCCAAAATCCGTACCATCTACATTCAGCAAAATTACCAAGCACAAGTAACTTTCCGAAAATTCCAACGCAATTCTTAATGTTGAAGTTTCATTTCCAGAAAATCTCTTGACCATATAATAGAAGCTTTTTTCACAATTAAAATAATTTTTGTTTAGCATTTTTTTAAGAAAACGAATTAATAAACCCCAACATGGACAGAATAACGAAAAACATGATCTAATGTTTTTTAATTCATTTGACCATCAACTATGCCATAGAACTTGCAATGTAATCAATGTGAATTTTTGAAATCTTCTGCTCACTTCATGCCTGCCTAACTACACTTTAGACGACTCATCGTTTGATGTTGGCAACATTTATCTTTAGCCATTTGTTGTTGTTTTTTTAGTTTGGAGGTCTCATTCGTCTTGCGTTTGAATTATAGCGCCACTTATTTCAAATGGATGTGGCCAGTTGTTACAGGTCTATTCTTCAAAATTATTTTGTAAACAAAACAAGACGCACTGAAAATTAATGACAGTGATGGTGGACTACCAAGCTACCTTCCTAACACCTCTGACATCTATCCAAACACCCATGGGTCTGCGCTGCGCTAGGAGTTGGCATTGTGCATTTTAATTTTGTTGAGTTAACAATTTATGGTTGAATTTTTCTTAACAGCTTTTAACCTCTGGAAGCAGCAAAGCAGTGTTGCACAAACTTTTGTGGTGTACATACATATATGTACGTATGTATGTAGTGGCATACATAATTACATATTATTCATTAATAGAAGTCCATTTATTTAAAATTGTCCGTGGATGTGTTGGGGGTAATTGTTATTTTCAAGCATTATTATTTTTAAGTAGATGTGCGAAAAATTATAGTTTAGCATTTATGGCGGTGTTATCATGTTGATTAAACGTAGTTTGTAGCGATGGACATAATTGCCCATACCCTACACTAGCATATGGTATTTGTTAATTATGGCAATCTTTGGATACAAATGTTACGGCTATGGGTAGACTTTTGAAAACAAAGAGCCCATAGGTGAAAGATACGGAATTTTGCTATTGATCGCAAGTACATATTTTAAACCAATAAGGAACGGACGGTCATCTGGGAAGCAATTGGTCACCATTGGCACGTATTATGGCCTTCAAACGGCCAATAAAACCGTCACACCCACACGAATGTTGCTCTGCGGTATTTTGGCCAATTCCCGTCGAAGCGCTTGCTTGAGGTGATCGACACTTTGGTATTTTTCAGTGCCAATCTTGCTTTCCAAAATACGCGCGTGCTGAGTGTGACGGTGCTGAGTCCTGTTGGAACATCCAAATGTTTTGTGCCCAAGGCTTTAATATACCCTCCAGAATATTTTCGCGATAATATTCGGCATTTATTGT